GAAATTCCCAGGAATGATGATGGACAAATTTGCCTAGACAGTCCTCAGGATTAAGGGTTTTGCTTCCAAAAGCATTTATCTCAAATAACTGAGAAATGAACCACTGCTTCCTATATGATATGAAAAGCATATGCTTCTAAAAATGTGATTTTCTTTTAAAGTCTTTTTCCTCAAAAGCTTAAAGAGGGAAACTTATAAGATAGGATAGGAAAGCCTTTTTTGGCATAAACTCCTCAAGATCTTTCAGAAATGGAGAGGGGAAGCCTACAAGTAGAGTCAACCAGTCAACCACTAACACACTGTACACTTAGATGAAGGTGAGCCACATGCTAATATATTGTGCAAGCAAATCAAGAATCCTTTGCCAGTCAAAGTCAGCAATGAGATTTATTTGACTAAATATTTGACTAAATACTGAAAAAAGAACAGCTGGAAAAAGCATGAAGGAAAGTGAATTAATGAAGTACCAGGTCTTCACTTTTGATATACCTGTTGCTGGCTCTGTAATGAAATGTGTGTTGACCACTTGTACAGGAGAAGCTCACTGCAAGTCATTTGTCTTGTCATATACTGTGGGAGGCACAAAATGATCCATATTAGCTGCAGTGCATAAAAGTAGGGACAATAAACTGCTCCTAGCCAAGTACTGCCCCAGTAGGGCCCCAGCAGACCTTGTTGCATCAGCTCAACACAGAACATGACAAGGCCTTGACTCCTCATCTCTCCATTTCACTTGAGCTAATGTGTTAATAGATCTAATGCCATCTTGTTTTCTCACTTTGGTTCGGCAGAAGGTGACCAGACGAGTGTGAGGTCATTTTGGAAAAAGGACTGCTGAGGTAAGGGTCATTGAGGAGGCAAGGTGCAAGAGTTCAGGATCTTGCCTCCTGGGAAAACTAAAGTTTGCAGTCTGACTTCTACATTTTTACAAATTCCTTGTCATGACTTGTATCTCCACCTATTTAGTCCATTTATCTTCCTTGCTGGAGATCATCTCTCCCTAGTGTGGTGAACAGGGAGAAATGTCAAGAATTTGCAAAAGAATATGTTGTTGTGCTTAGAGAGATGCAGGTGGAACATGCCACCATTACTGCCCATAATTATTATATATAATTGCTTTGTCTTCTTCAAAGCGAAGTTAACTTTTTTCTTTGGAATAGGGAGGCTTAACGTGGCTGTAACTTGTGCTAACTGCTTACAGCAAAGGTGACCAATCCCGAGATGTCTGCAACAAAGTATTCCCCGTTTTACTACCTTGTTTTGCTTACTGCACGCTCCTGACATCTTTGCTCATTCTGAGCTCCAGTATATCTAGGGGTGTGCCCAGAATAGGAAACATCACAACCTCATTTCCAGATGCAATAGAAAAGTCAAGTTAGATTCTTTCACTTAATACTGATGAATACTTGCTTGATCTGAAAAAGGCAGATTGGATCAGTGTGCGTTACCTGAGCATCCAGGACACTGTTCTAAATGCAAACCGACCTTGCAGAAAAGAGAAGGTTTCTGAGTGCAGTCATCATTCTCCATGTGCAAATACCGTTCCTGGAGCAGCAGAGTAAGACTGGCCATTTTGTGAGAGTGCCAAAAAGACAGAAGGCCATCTGGTGCTATAGACTAACTAATCTAACAGCACTGAAGTCAGCACAGCCTGGTTGGTATACAGTATATCAAGCTCTCTTAGAGCCAGATTAGTCCCTGTACTTAAGATAGACTAGACATTACATTATCAGTGCTAGAGAATCTAACACTAACAAGCTGAAAGAGACAAGCAGGAAATGTGGACCTCAGAAAGAACAGAGAATAGGAAATGGGTCAGACAGATTTGTCTGGGGTTAAGAATTTTGGAAAACAAAGTGTATGAATGTATTGGACTCAGCTGCAAATTTGTATGTGTAAAATCTTACCTTGAATAACTTAAGACTTGTTATCATTTGTACAGGTAGTTTGCAAGAGTCTAAAGTTGTTATGAAGATAATATGGAAGGAAAGGGAGGAGACTGAGATTCAAATGGAAAGAGTAAAAGTTTAGTAACAACACATGCAATTACAGTATCATAACCTTATGTCTCAGTGGTCTGCTGTGTTCATTGCACTAAATGTGGTAGTACTGTGTGCTTATATGAACGTACAGTACTGAAAGACAGTACATTTATACAAACAACATGTCACTTTCCCGAGTGGGAGAGCAGGATCACTGTCATACTTGAGGGCTGAAGGATGGTCAGTATTTGCACAAGCAGTTATGTAAAAGTATATGCAGTCATCCTGTGAATTGCAGACCAATAGTTTCCATTCAATAGCAGGTAAATTATTTGCACTGGTGACTATAAAATACTTAGAACATAATGGGATCTATACACTATAAGGTCTGAAAGGAGCTAATCTGTTAAAATTCTTTGAGACAGTAGTATAGTAGATAAAAGTGAAGGCTGACATGATTTAGGGATGTCTCAAAATTCCTTTGTCCAAACACTTTATAAAGAGTAACTGAAGAAGCTAAGTAAGCAAAGAGGAGGAGACAAAGCAGTTGCACAGATCAAAAATGGTGAAGTAATAAGAAACAAAAAGAAAGAAAAATGGTTGCTATGGCATGAGGTTATTCATGGTGTGCCACAAGGTTCCATCCTTGGGCATCTGTTGTTTATCAACAATCTGGAAAGTGTTCTGCTGACATTCCAAAATTATTTAAGTTGATCAAGACCAGAGAAACTGTGAAAAACTTTGGAGGCCTTAAGCAAGTTGAGTGAATAGAAAATATGATGGCAGATGAAACCAAATGCTGGCAAATTTCTTTAGCACACTTTAAAGGAAATCACTGGAAGTGCTCACTGTCCTGGGTCCTAAACTGACTGTATCTCAGACAAAGACTCAACAAACACTGTACATAGATCAAAAAGACCATTACTCATGAAGAGGTGGTGGTAGAAAGAGTAAGCAGTTACTGGGCTATGCACAAAACATAATGGTAACAGAACAGAAATACATTAATATATGTCTATGCATTGTAATTCAGTTAATTTAATAGACCACTTGTCATCTGCAACACTGCACAATTTTAAGTGCCACTATCAAAAAAGGGATAGAAGAATAAACTGAAATAAAAATTAGTAGAAACACACTGAAAGGCTCTCCTGTGTTTGCCTTAGACAGAAAGCAAGCAAATGGGGACACAAGAAAAAAATCACAATAACAAATAACATGTTCTCAGTACAAGAATAAGGGAGCATTCACTGAAATTGAAATTTAGTGGCAATTTCAAAGTGGCAATTGGAAACTTTTTTTTACACAAAGCAAAATTATTTATAATGTCAAATATTAAGGATGGAGATTTCATAATTGGTCTAAGCCCCTGTTTCACTGTTTCCCACCCTCCCTATGATCTTATTGATAGCCTTCTAGAACATATGCTTCTTTAATCATCTTTCTGGTTCTTTACTGGATTTGCTCCTGCATGTCACAGAATCACAGCATGGCTGAGGTTGCAAGTGACTTCTGAAGATAACCTGATTCAACACTTCTGCTCAAGCAGGGTATCCTGGGTTCAGCAGTAGCAGTCATTTTTCTCCTTCTTGGTAGCTGGTGCAGTGCTGTGGTTTTGACTTTCAGCCTGGGAACAGTGCTGATAACACCGATGTTTCTAGTTGTTGCTCAGTAATGTTTGCTCTGCCAGGGAGGAGGGGAAGCCGGGAGGAAGCAGAGACAGGACACCTGACCCAAGCTAGCCAAAGAGGTATTCCATACCATAGCATGTCATGCCCAGTATATAAACTGGGGGCAACTACACAGAAGGGCTAAATCTCTGTTTGGGTTGGGCTGGATATCAGTTGGCGGGTGGTGAGCTGTTGTATTCTCTTCCATTGTTCTTTCCCTTATCGTTATTATTATTGGTGGCAGCAGCAGTGATTTGTGTTATACCTTAGTTACTGGACTGTTCTTATCTCAACCTGTGAGAATTACATTCTTTCGATTCTCCTCCTCATCCCTTCGGGAGGGCAGCAGAGGAAGGGGTGGGGAATGAGTGAGTGGCTGAGTGTTTCTGGGTTGCCAGCTGGCCTTAAACCATGACACAAGGCCACCTAGAGCTGGTTGCCCAGGACTACCTCCAGATAACGTTTGAATACCTGCAAGACTGGAGACACTGCAACCTCTCTGAATATCCTGTATCAGGACTCAGTCATACTCACAGCAAAAATAATGATTAGTAATATTCAGAGGGACTCTCATGTGTTTCCATGGGTGCCCATTGCCACTTGTCCTGTCACTGGCTAGCACTGGAAAGAGCCTGGTTCCATTCTTTTTGCACCTTCCCTTCAGGTACTTGTATACATTGGTAACATTCCCGATATGCATTGGTAAGATGCATATCATACCAAAATATAGCCCTGCCATATGTCAATATTTTTCTTGTACCACAGTGCCTCAAATAGGACATAGATTTCCAGAAACTATCACACAGAACTAAATAGTAAGGAACAATCATTTTCCTCAACCTGCTGTCCACAGTTTTACTAATGCAGTTATGTGGTTAGCCTTCACAGCATACTGTTGACTCATGGTTAATGACCAGAATGTCATATGAACACACACGTATATAGCCACTAAAGACACTCATAAGATGGTGATGACACCAAAATCTTCCTATTAGTCCACTAACACCTACTGAGAAATTCCCTGGAGCTGTCAGAAAGAACTAGTACATATGCAGAATATACATACATCACACATGCCAATGAATGCCAAATACAATACCTGCATTTTTTCTCTTCTTATGATTGCAGTGGATGACCTGCAAAAGTGACAATTGTGACTCACGACAAATTCTGGAAAAAGAACTTGAAAATGGTAGTGCTTTACAATGTGCTACGATGTATTTGAGAAAAACAAAACAAACCCTAACAACAACAAAATCCACAACCACAAATTGGCTGTGGATTAACAGACTAACCAGTGGTATCTTATTTCAGTACTGTGTGATGTTACATGTGCTTCCATGAATGAGATCCAATCAGTATCAGTCCTTGAGTGACATTCAGGGAGTTAGTTTAGAATGTACTTTGGTCCATAAAGAAGGAAGAAGCCAGCTCTGTTGATGGTGCCTTTTAGGAAATCTGCTACAGGTTGAGTGGAGAATCAGGCCTGTTAATTTGCAAGCTGAAGAAGGATAAGCTTGCTGAAGTCACAGAAGCAGAGAGACTGAAGCTAAGCCTGCAAGGGAAACAGGTGGTTCCTGTGTGGTTCCTGTGTCGTCATGCAGAAGGAGACGGTGCAAGACTTGTTGCTGCTGCAGGAGGAGATGTAAAGAGAGGAACATCTGCAAATATCCACAATATTTGGGTTTCAGAGCAGAGACTGCCAAAAAAACGATGTTCTTTCTGTGACATATTCATTAAATTGGCTTTATACGTAAATCTGCACCATGGCAGGAAGGGGGAATGGTGTGACAAAAAAGACACTACTAAAAAAAATATATACTGAGCAAATATATCCTATGCTATGTGCAAGTTTGAAGAGTTCTGCAAATCAGGCAAGAAGACAACATTTTCTTTAGGACATTCCAAATGGTGTGGCACTTTTTTTGCAAACATAAGCCCACAGATGTACACAAAAAATAGGGCATATCATCTCTGATGTTCTGCTATATTGTTTTAGCTATAAAGTCAACAGGTACATAACATGTCCTTCCAGTATGTGTTATAAACACTGGTTCTCAGTTTTCTTAATTCTTACCCAGAAACCGAAGTGCATACTTCATTATACCTGTGGTAACATCAACCGATGTATGTCTCTCTGTACCAAACACAAGTAATAGGAACAAATAAAAGAGAACAGCAGAAAACTCAGCAACCCAGTCAAAATGCTTATCCATATTATTAAGAATAAAACTTCTTCTGTAACTGCTAGCAAAAAATGGTCAGCAAGATGAGATCCACAAGTGATGAATGTTTCAATTTAAATTAATCTAATTTCATTTTAATTTCTTTTTTTATTTGTTTTTAATTGGATTTGCAGAAAATAAAAATAGAGGTATCCATGTGTTTCCTTCACAGATTTAATACAGTCCCAGTTCAGGTCACTTCAAATATGGTCAAAATTCAAGAAGTGAAAAAATGACACATTTAATTAGGACTACCAAGACATCAGTGGTGAGGTACACTCCTCTGAAGTTGTTGAGACAAAATTATATGCATTCCATACTTATTTAAAAAAGGCTATATTCTGAGCTAGACTGGTATGAACCACTGGTGTTACAATGGTGTAAGCCTGAAGAGGCTGAAATCCAGGTCTGTCCCAAAGCATGCCTTTCATTCTGTAAGTTTCTGGAGGGTAGGTTCCTGAGCATTATACACTGGGATAAACAAGAAAATAACTCCAAATCCATCAGTAGAGTTATTTGTGATATATTTCTACAGGACTGAAACCAGAATCCTGTCCTCAGAATTACAAATAGTCCTGCTGAGTCTCTTTTCTTGGAATGGAAACAGATGGTTGATGCATCAAGGCCAGATTTTAATCTCAGCTGCAATCATGTAAATCTGAAGTTGTTTTGCTTAAGTCTTTGCAGGGGCTTGTTTTCACAATAGAAAGTGGTCAGTAGTTTAAGATATTCCCTGTCCCTGTCTTGTTTTTACTGGTGTGCTGTCCCCTCAAGGATTTGGATTTAAAAAGACAATTAATAAAACATGACTTTTTCAAATTGGATCAATTCCCTGATTTAATCCACAAAACTGACTCCCAGCCACTTGTACCAGCACAACTTGGAAGGTGAAGTCCCATGACAAACACCAGGGCAACTGGGACTAGAATACCGTTTCATCAACAAACATGAAACTGCAGCCTCAGAAGGTTACCAGTGATCATCTGAGAACTAACACAGTGAGGTAAAGTTCTTACTCAAGCTAGGAAAGGGAAAGAACAAGTTAGAGGTTACTTTGGTAAGTTAGTGGTTTATAAATTGATGAAATTTAGGTTTCAAACCTGATGAAATTTACTATGGCCTAGAGCTCATAGGGAGCTGGATAAAGTAATTTGAAGGCATTAGCAAGTATTTTTTACATCCTCAAGTATATAAGAGGTTCTAAAAGACTGGAAACAGGTAACCACCATATTGGTTTGAGCAGGGAGAAAGAGAAGCTGATAATAATTTTAACCCCACATATATGTAGGTAGCCAGTGGGCAGGACAGTCATACTTTGTCCCACACATTTGGTCATTTCCCTGCTGTTAGCACAGGCACTTTTGCAACTGTGCAATAAGCCAGATCAAGGAACCAAAATCTCTCCCTATTTCCCTCTCCCAGATGTGTTAATTCTTCTGGATCAAATCCTTAATTTTACTTGTTGTGTGGCTTTATGGACACCAGTGCCACACAAGAAAAAGGAACAAGCAAATTATGTGCAAGGAGGAAAACAGCTCAGTCCAAGCTTATTTTGGTAAAACAACCACACAACCATACCCTGCAGCGGGCCAGCCTAACTCAGACTAACAAATAATCACTTAAGATATTTTTAAGCCCAGGATCTAATAAAGAGGAAAGCAACAGCAAGAATATTAAGATTAAATCAGGTCAGGTCAACCTAATTTCCACTTACGACAAGTAACAGATCTCTTAGCAAGGATAGAAGTAGCATCTGTAAAATAATTAAACATCGCTTACATTCTGCCACTGTTTTCTGTGACAGTTTTCTACATCAGGTAGAGTAACATGGCCTGGACAACTAAGTGCTAGACAGGCATGCTTAGATGCAAGTTCCCTGTGATCAAAGCTGGAACACAAAATGATGAATCTAATATGAAATATGAACAAAACCAAGTGAAAATGCCACCACACATAGCAGAGAGAACCATTTCAACATTATCATATGGGGACAATATTTCAATATAGTCAGGATCTAGAAACATTTTTTACGATCCTTTCATTTGTGACAGAGACATGATGACTAACAAACTGGTAAAGTTATAATTACTGTGTTTGTCCAATTAGTGTTTCTTTTTTCTTGGCTTATAATTCAACTGTCTTAGAACTGTGCCATTTCTAGTATTGGTTCCATGTGACTGGTATTGTATCAATCACATCCCAAAGGAATCCAATAGGAAAGAACCAAAAGGAACCACCAGAGAAGCAGGACTTCTGTTTCTTTAATTTTAACTTAACATTAACAATCAACTTAACTAACACATTAACTTAAACTTCAGGTTTTAAGCAATAACTGAACTGACATATGCACTGTAGTCTACTTCTTTTAAAAGCACCTAGGTACTTGGTTTTATAGAATAGTACCTACAGTTTATGGTTTAAATAAGACTTTTAAACTATTTGCTATTTTTAATTATTTCAACACATGTTGGGTTTTATACAAATAGGCCTTTTTTTTTCTATTTTAATTTAAAAGTGTCATTTTGTGATTGCTATATTGATATGGCTGATGGATTTCTCCACATGGAGATTTGGTTATTTTAATCACATTTCTAAAATATCTGAGGAAATTTGATATGAATAATAAGTAATATCATCCACTTAAGCCTAGAATTAACTTTAAGATTTTTCTAATCACTACATTAGAAACCTTTGTCTCTGGAAACGCAGAACATCTTCCAGAGTTGACATGTATATTCCAAATCTGTGAAAGAGTTTGATTACCCTCTGCTTTTTATATTTCTCAAAAGAATATCAAAGAATGTCTGTTCTTGTAGCACTTAATTTTCTTTCTCTCATATAATTTCCAGAGTGTTTCCATATCAGCATAGTTAAAGCACAGTTTATTTTTGTTTGTTTTCTTGTTAAATCTTCACTTAAATTCCCATTTCTTTAACTTGGGATTGGTCAATCAGTCATTTTTGTTCTATATCTTCTTATCTATCTTGAGTATTAGGTTGCATACAGGTCACATTTATCCTATATATAACCTCAGCACTATTTAAAGCTGTATAGTTATTTGATCTGAATAATTTGTGAGTTCACATACATTTAAGCATTTTGCATATGAAATACAGTTACATTTAAGGTTGGGGGTTTTAAACATAAATATCCCTAGAGTAACGGTTGAACATTCTAAGCCCCACCATTCATTAAAAACAAGAGAAGATGATCTAAAACTCCCCTGAATATCACACCTAGTTAAATCTGTCAGAAATTCAGTGTTCTAGCTACTTTCCTCCTTGGTTCCTCCAGTAAATGCAGTAACCTGCAAGGGTATTACCATGATGCAGAACAGTTGTAAGTACCGAGGCTAAGAAAAAGATCCTCACAAAGCTTCCTTAAACGGTATAAGGATGAGCAGATCTAATGTAAACTTACGTATTAACATCTGAATACACGTATCGCTGTACCACTGTGTTGGATTTGTGTTAGTCTTTAAAGTGGGACAAGCTACAAGATAACAAATGTAATTTAGCTGAAGAGATTTCCACCAGCTTTGTAAATGTGCTGCTAAGTATCTCTCAGATGCATAAAAGCTTTGCAAAATAACATGGGTTTACATTGCACACATGCTATACTTAGTAGAGAGACTGAGTGATAGTGTATCCCATTAGTCACATGAGATGTATTCAAACTGCTTTGTCTCTAAAATCAGTATGTCTCTGCCAGCTCAACATTTACCAAGCAGTCTTCCCACTGGGGTTGCTTTCTTAAGTCCAAGTCATTTGTTGTGGGCCAAGTTTTGCATATGAAAGTACCTCCAGTTTCAGAAAAAATGTCTCCAACGTGAATCCCGTAAGTAAGTAACATCTACCATTCCTTTCAAAATACTCAGTTGCTCACTTTCTACTGGTGCACACTTCTCTGTGGTGTGATATAAACCACATTAATACAAGGCCTGGCAATTCCACTGTGATTTTGTACTGTGAAATCGTACTCTTTTTTTGGTTATACCGGCTATATGAAAATAGTTTTTCTTTACTATTTGGTTTTGCTCTTGTGTGCAAAAAATCTTTTCTGAGCATCATTTCATATCACTTCTTTCTGTCCTGCACATACTCATGAGATGAAGCCTAAAAAAAACCTTTGGAGACCAGAGCAACTGCAGTAACAAAACTCTGTCTGTCCACAATGCACAGAGACCGCAACTCCTTCCCATGGCGCAGTTGTGAGTATGGTCTGCAAACCCCTTCCATTACCAAACCACACAGGAGACCTACAGGAGAGCAAGCTGTGACTTTCTCACAGCACATGAGCTCTGTCACAGACACACAGCAGGGAAACTGAAAGACTACGCGTGGAGCTGACACAAGATGTGTGTGGATTCCAGGTAAAAAGCACAGTTCTGCATTGATTGAATGTTCCCCAGCCAAAGCCACAACAAACCATGATTCTCACAAAGATGCCTAAATGCGGTCCCAGTGCATACTTTTAGAAGGGCAAACCTGGTGAAATTTAGCTCCTGATGAAGTCAGCTGGAGCTTTGGCACCAACTTCAGAGAATCAGCATTTCACCCTAATACATCACTGTTGCAGGTCAGCAAGGATGATCAGGAGCTTCAAGCTTCTGTCATCTCTCCAGACTTCATTCAGCAAGAAGTTAGACCCAACCTCATGAAGAACTGCAGCTGCAGCATGCAGCTGGCACTCACACACTGCAATTTCTCACCCCCTTCCACCGACACTCTAAAGAGACCAATTCAGTGAAACATTACTCACCAATTATACTGGTTTCTGAGGAATTTGCCTGGGAAATGCACAAACTGCACCACCACTCGGTCAAGCCACTGGCTCTTCTGCTCACGAAGCTCTTTTTCCTTTTACCAGTGTTGCCTCATTTTGTGTTGCATTAGTAAAATGAAAACAATCTTCTGAACAATTTTCTAACCATGAACCTGCCTTGCATCCTTTCACTTTAACTAATGCTTGCAGAACTGTTTTTTCTCATTTGCCAGGTAATATGAAGTTTACTGATAAACATTTTACTTTAATGTATCACATATCTCCCCTGAAATGGGTGTTTTAGCAGAGTTGTGTTTAAGAATGCCAAGATTTCTTCCCCACACTGTTTTTTGCCTTTTTACTAGCCTATACAATAGAGTATTTTTGCTTAATCGTGTGATTTTTGGTGTCTCCTGCAGATGCAGAGTGTGAACTGCACACTGCTGGTTTTATGCTGCCCAAAGCCACATCAAAATAATTAACAAATATGTTGTGCTCAGCAATTATACTACACAGTATATTTTTCAAGGGCTGTGCAAACATTAATTCAGGTTTCATGAATCTCACTTTTCACAACTTGAATAAGGTCATGCCTGGTTAGTACTCTGAATGGAGACATTCCCTCCTGCCCTCCTTCTGAAGGGAACTGTTTGAGAGATCCAATTGATGGTGTGATCTGGAAAGAGAAAAGAGTTTCAGAATGTGAATTTTCAGAAGATTAAAAGGAGTTTCAGTTTCATGGAGTTATACCGAGCCTGTTTTTGTCAATAACATTTTTAAAGGCTTCCCGAAACAGTAAGAAAACCATGTTTTTGTATAGAAAACCAATGACAAACATTAACAAACAAAACACAAATGATATTGATGAAAACACATGAAAAAGAACCACCCCCAAAAAATGCCAACATGGAGAGGGGGGAAGACAATATCCTTCACTGATTGTTTTGGTTTTCAATCTATAGTTATTCTTGTAACAATTCATGATGGCATCACTTCCTGAATGCTATGATCAAGTTGGAGATACCCTGATACCAGCACCACCAGGCGGTCTCTTTCATGTGAAGTACAAACCCAGCATCTGACCCAGTACTGATTTCCCTCTACATATTGAATGGTGTTATCAATGGAAACAGTAACATTAATTATCAGTGAATTTTGTTTTACACCTGAGTTCTTCTGCAATTGAAAACGATGCAAACACAAGATGGGAAAAATGCAGTGCTGCTCCTAAAAATCCACCTACAAACCCAAATCAATGGATATAAAATAAACATCTTTTAAAAGCTATCACAGGAATTCTCAGATTTTGTCTTAATTAGCAACTCAGATTGCTGATAATTTATCTCTCCAGTTGCTCAAGTGTACTGCATACAACAACCTATGCCAATCATCATAAACCTTATGTCATACACTTTGATCAAAAATGAAATGGTTAATGAAGTTGATAGTCAAGTTACTGGCGTTAGCTCTCCAATCTGATACTGCACTGAGATTAATGGGATACTTCTGACCTCTCAAAGATGTAATTGCAAGCTTGCAGAAAGGTGAAGGATCTTCATTACAACACTTGGTATTTGGTTACTGTTTGTGCCTCCATGTGACTCTACACAGCTCTAGAACTGCACAAATTTTAAACTGATGAGGATTACATACGAGCTGGAAGAGAAGGGGATGGAATTTCAGATTTTTTCTTTGTAACTATACAATCAGCTTCTCAGTTATTCCAAGGGGTTTTAATGTGAATGAGAATGAAATCCTTACAGCTGATTTTTGCTTTAATGAAAACCTGAATTCTGGAGCACAGATGGCAGTTGAAAAAAAAAGAAGAAAAAGAAACAGCATGACAACCTACTGTAAGGCAATTCACTCCAGTCCTCAGATGCAGTCATTTTCAGTCATTTTACAGTCATACAGTGTTTTCCAATACCACCATATTTTACTAACAGTTTCATTGTACCAGGAAATGTGATGAGACTAATAAACAGCTTTTATGTGAAGTGAATACTTTCAAACTGCCCTTTAGAATGAAGATTTCTATGAAGATGCTATTTGTTATAGTTTCTGGGGTATATTGTATAGCTCATTTAATTCCATCCATATAGTTTTATATTGTCATATATTCTATTTTATTAAAAACAAAGCTGAGTTAAAATACCAGGCACATTATTTTGCCTCTTTTGAAAATCTGAAATAAGAGGTGTGAAATTCTGCCATTCTGACTCAGTTGTTACACTTTAAAACTTTCAGAATCCAGCTTTTGCTTTGCTTCAAAAGCCAGACTTGTCTGAATCACTTGCAATCACAAAGTTTTCCAGACACACAGGTTGGAAAACTAAAGTGCTTTTAACAGCTGTGTCCCAAGTTCAGAATGTAGGTCTCTGCGTGCTTTGTTAGCCCTGAGGAGGGAAGCAGGGACTTCAACATTTTGGCTACGTCTTCCACTGTTTGCTTTTTACTGTCACAGCGGCTGCTGCTGCTGCTGCTAAAGATGACATCTGATGTTGACATCAGACATTTGGGAGATAGAAAAAACTTTCAATATCTGCACTCAGTCACTAGGAGAAAAAGCCCTCACAAGAGCCATCACAAAAGGATATAATCTCTTCTTCCTCTACCTTCCATCACCCTCTCCTGCAAATGCCAGAAAGTTTCAGAGGAAGGCAGGCTAATGAGTCACCGCTGAGCCCCACTTCAAATTCATTATGCTCTGCCTTAAGGGAGTCTCTTTGAAAGCACAACTGATAATGTAAATAAATAATTTCTATTTTGAAAAAAAGTCATATTTTTTGAAGTAATTCTAAATATTGTAAGCAAGCAACCACATACTGACATTTCTTGTTTGGTGACCAGAGACCAGCTTGTGGGTGATGTGATGGGTGGAGGCTGTCTTGGGCATAGCCATCAAGAAATGGTAAGAGTTTTCAATTCTCAGAGAAGTAAGGAGGGGGTTTATCAGAACTGCTACTTTGGACTTCCAGAGAGCACACTTCAGCCTATTTAGGAGACTAGTTGTATTTAAAGGACATGTAGATGTAGCACTTAGGGACATGATTTAGTGGTGGACTTGTCAGTGTTAGGTTAATGGTTGGACTCAGTGATCTTAAAGGTCTTTTCCAACATAAACAGTCCAATGATTCTGAGCGGCTTTCCAACATTTATCAGTACTCCTGGCTAATCTGTGAGGTCCCAGTGGACTGGAAGTTGGCAAATGCGATGCCCATCTACAAGAAGGGCTAAAAGGTGTATCCAGGGAACTACAAGCCTGTCAGCCTGTGCTGGGGAAGCTTATGGAGCAGATAATCTTGAGTGTCATCACATGGCACATACAGGACAACCAGATCTAGTCAGCATGGTTTTAAGAAAGGCAGGTCCTGCTTGACTAGTCTGATCTCCTTCTTTGAGAAAGTGACTGACTTATTGGATGAGAGAAAGTCTGCAGATGTTGTTTACCTGGAGTGTAGTAAAGCCTTTGACGTTGCTTCCCACATCATTCTCCTGGAGAAAATGGCTGCTCATGGCTTGGATGGGCATAATCTTCACTGGGTAAAAAAAAATGATTTGATGGCTGGGCCCAAATGGTGTTAAATCCAGTTGGGAGCCAGGCACAAGTCATGTATGGGGCCAGTTCTGTTTAATACCTTTATCGGTGATTTGGATGAGGGGATCATGGGCACCCTCAGTAAGTTTGCAGATGACACCAAGTTGGGTGAGAGTGTGTATCTGCTGGAGGATAGGAAGTCTCTAAGAGTGACCTGGACAGGCTGGATCGATGGGCCAAGGCCAATAGGATGAGGTTCAACAAGGGTCCTGCACTTAGGTCACAACAACCCTGTGCAACACTACAGGCTTGGGGAAGAGTGGCTGGAAAGCTGCTCGGTGGAAAAGGACCTGGAGATGTTGGTAGACATCCGGCTGAACATGAATTAGCTTGTGCTCAGGTGGCCAAGAGGGCCAATAGCATCATAGCCTGTGTCAGGAATAGTGTGGGAAGGACTATGGGAGGAATGATCCCACTGTATTTGTGGGGATGAAGTATTTGAGGCCACACCTCAAATACTGTGTTTAGTTCTGGACCTTCACTACAAGAAAGACATAGGGGTGCTGAAGCATGCCCAAAGAAGTGCAACAAAGCTGTTGAAGGGTCTAGAGAACAAGTCTTATGAAAAACAGCTGAGGGAAGTCGTATTGTTTAGCCTGGAGAGAAGGAGGCTCAGGGGAGACCTTGTTGCTTTCTGCAACTACCTGAAAGGAAGCCACAGTGAGGTGGGTGATGGTCTCTTTTCCTACGTAATGAGTGACAGAACAAGAGGTAATGGCCTCAAGTTGTGCCAGGGAGATTTAAATTGGATATTAGGAAATACTTCTTCATCAGAAGGGTTGTCAAATGTTGTAACAGGCTGCTTAGGAAAGTGGTTGAGTCACCATTTCTGAAGGTATTTGAAAGACTTGTAGATGTGGCATTTGCGGATGTGGTTTAGGGGTGGACTTGTCAGCGTTAGGTCAATGGTTGGACTCAGTGATCTTAAAGGTCTTTTCCAACCTACATTATTCAATGATTCTGTGATTCTCACTTTTTTTTTTACTGAAAAGTTGTCTACAGCAAAGAAAGAAAACATGAACAGAAAGACATAATGCTAGGCCAGCAACCCACTTCAAGTTTAACAAGTTAAAGGGAGAACTACCATACAATTATCTTTACTGCCCTACACTTAGTATGTGAAAATGCATTGAATACAGGACTTCCTGAGCCATAGAAATTTTCAGACAGCTTGAGATAATGCAATCCTTATGTCTGTAATACAGAATCTACCCACATGAGTTACCTACTTGCAATGGGTCAAGTAATTTGTGTCTGTGAGCATTGTTAAACAGAGGAGCTGCTAGAGTAGATCAAGCTGTAATTTCTTAATTATTAAACTTTATCACTAAAAAAGCAGCCACTGTAAAATGGCTGAATTTCCTAATGTTAATTCTTGTTTTAACACCATTCAGTGTTAATATGATACAAAGAGTTGGAAGGCTTCCTAATCCTTCTGTAAAATATGGAACATTAAAAACTTCAGCAACATAAAAATGATTGTTCTAGTAAGAATGAACTGAGTTAGGCACATGAAGGAGTATGAAAAAGGAGGTTTTGCAGCAGTGTAGTAAGCATATGCTCTATCCTCTCCAAAAAGCCATTTTGCAATCTATGTGGTTGGGCAGGCTGCTGGACTTGGTGTTGATAGCTCTAACAGATTTATTGTCCTTCAAATTTATGTCAGCTGCAGCAAAACAAAGAAGTATGTCAGTATTTAAAATTACCCATCTTTTTCCCATTCTCAAAAATTGGTTCCGCACTAGCCAAAGTTTAGTCATCTGAGAATTTCTAAACCTCTGAATTTATCTATCCCTCTTCACTACTACACAGGTATTCCAGTCAGGACAGGTATACAGTTCTGCTGTACATCATTCAGTCTAAAAATTCAACATTTGGTGATAAGCCAAAGAGATTTTTTCTTTCAGAGAGAACTCTGTAGTTTTCTTTTGAGAGAGAAGAGGAATGAAAGGGGAATCCCAGAAATTCCCCTCCCGTTAGCTCTGTGCTTGAAGTATTATTAACACTTTCACTTTCTCACTCCTACTCTCACCATTTGAATCTGGGTCATAACAGCATGCCTACCCTTCGGTACCTTGAGTGGGTGGTTGTTTTGGCTGGCACTAAGGCATACTTGCTTTGTGACACAGAGTGCCCTTATGGTGACACATACTTGTCCTTTTCAGCTGCCTTTTATACTTTCTTTTCTCAACTCATTTATTTCAAAAGATAGACTAGAGAGTGGAATTTGTGTTATTCTGTATTCATATTGTTTTAATAAAGTGCAAAAGGAAAGCCTACAAAATATTTTAGTCTGTTCTTTTCACAACACTGGATTATTCCCTATAGCCTCTTTTCTTCTCCCTTTACATATACATTTTCCTGATTAAAATACTGTAAAACATGACCTACTGTCAAATACTACAATGCATGCCTGAAGTCTCAGGCTGGGCTTCTAGTACCACTGTCTTCAAATCCCAAATGAAGAATTTGAAGAGCTAGTTCTAAATTATAGTAGAAATTAAATTAATTCAGTGCCAGGCTGCCTATCTAAAGAAAGTGTCAAACCCAGAAGAACCCCTGTAGAAAAAGAAAGAAGGGACCAAGCAAACATATAAAAGAAGTCTGATCTTCAAATTTGCCTATTAGCAGAACAACAAAATCAAGAGGCTGGTTCAAGAAAGGTTTACATGATGTGCAGCAGAATGCGAATAACACCTGTAGATTTATGTCTTTCCAAACAAGTGAAATCTCTTACTGACTTTTTACGTATCCAGTTGTGATGCTTCTTTCTATCTTCTTTGAGGGGTGGAAAGGGTCTGTGAGCAAATAATTCTGGACTTTTAGAAAAGGAGCAGAATGATGAGGTGCTACCCACAATAAAACATCCTAAACTTCCTTTCCACGCTAAAACTACCTTTCTGAGTACAATTCTAACCAAGATAAATAAGAGACATTACTCTATATGGTTATTACGAAATGGTCATTTACTAACTGACAAACCTCCTAAACAGCTACTATTTCTCTAAAATCAGCAAAAATGTCTCTATAATCAGTACCAACAACCTGTTCAGGGTAGTTCACAGATGGTTTTTTACCTAACGAACCAAGCAGAGATAAATTATTATACATTATTATTATATACAGTTATTATATGCAATATTAAAACATTATACTAAAATTATATAAATATATGTATACAGTTTGATTTTACCACTGTCATCACAAAATGAATGTAACATTTGCTACCTGGGTAATTAGCACCAGGGCTGTTCTTTCTAAATTGCAAGTGAGTACCTCTATGCCATCCTTTTTCTTTGCATCCAATTAAGGCTAATGCATACTGCCCTACAAGAATTTGCAAGCTGTACCGAGAAATAATGCAGTGTTAGCTTTGCAATTTAGTGCGCAGGGCACATTTGTGCTAAAGCGCAATAAACTGGGCCTGTGGTCAAAAGGAGCAATTAGCACTTTGTTAGTATGCAATGATGTACTAATCTACACAGTCCCCAAAAGCAATTGTCTGTTCCTCTTGCTCTCATGTACAAATTTTCTCCAGTATGCACCACTCTGCCCCTAAAATAGCCCACAACAGCACTGTTGCTATAAAACAGGTTTCCTATGATTAGAATCTAAGTACCAATTACAATTCATTTATTGGGAAAAAATCATGTAGTACCATCAATTCTTTTTCGTGTGCTGAGATAGCCACATTGTTCTCTGAAAGTGTTAAACAACTGTAACTACTCCATTAAAGAGTAAAAGGGGGGCAAATTTAGGTGACAGAATATTTCCGTCTGAGGCATCTAAAGGTTGCCTCTATCTAAAAACAGACTGTTGCAAGCCATGATCTCCAGGAAAAAAGGCTGGTGCTAAAAGTGGCCGGATGGTAAAAATCACAGAAGCTATCAATAGCACTGGCAAAACAGTGGACTAAAACCTATTATTCAGCGAGTATTCCACATCTCCCTCTTGTGGCTGGTATATAAAGGATGTGACTCTATCACAGGTACCAGATAGATCATTTTTTAATATAGACAGGCTTTGTGATAGTCACTGGAGATGGTCCACAGTAAGGGCTGAAAAAATCAAGGAGGAAAACAAGGCAGCATATTGTCAAGCATCTGAGAGTAACTAGTGCTTCTTGTTGAAGGCCTGGTTTCAAAGGCTATTTTCCAAAAATATGAGAGGCTCATTATAAGGTCTCTCAGCTGGGGCGCCAGTCAGCCAAAACCCCTTCAGCCACTAACCAGTTTGGAAAACCTTGGAGTGCAACATGTACCTACCCATTAAAGGGGTATACACTAAGCATACACTAAGCATCCTCCTCCCTGTACCAGTTGCCTAGAATCAAGCTAAGACTACAGTTTCATATCTACCCAACAAAACTTAAAAGGCTGACAGCGTCTAACACAGTGTTACAGTTTCTAAAAGGAGTATGGAAAAGTTGGATGTTAGCTTCCTCAGAAGAAAGCTAAGGCATATCAAGGAGGCATAGCACTTCTGTAATAGCAGAATGCTACAGAATTAGGATGAACTCAACATGACTATCCAGCTAGGTAATGTGGAAGTTCCATCCTCAAGTTAAAGGAGAAGATGAAAAAGAAAGCTCTATGAACTAACAGCATCGTCGGTAACTTAATCAGAATGATGCTTTGTGGGGACCTTTAAATATTCTTCACAGTCATTGCCCACGTATCTGTCTCTGATCTTGTGCAAAAGAGCTCTTCAGCTTTTCAAACTGGGAGAACAAGAGGCACACTGGGATTTGATGGAAAAAAGGGAAAAACAATTGAAAAGGAGGTTTATGGAGTTGTAGGAAACTGACAGTGCTTTTCTCTTTTCTCATTTCTTTGGGCTTCTGGTTTCCAGTTTCCCTTTTTTCCTTCCTTCTCTTCGTTTCCAGTGGGAAAGAAAGGAGGAAAAAAAGGAATGTGAATGAGGAAATGATAAATCAAAAATCTCACTGCAAAAAGAATTTCTACGTTTATTTTTCTGGGGGTAAAAAATTAAAATATTTACATTTCGTGAGAAATTTCTACTGATTCCCTCCTCAAATTCTTTGACGAGTTTAGATTGTCTATTCTCTCAATAAATTATATTCACTTAATGGGGACACAATCAACCATTCCATTTTTTCTGACAAGAGAACTTCACCTCCACAGAACTGGCTCCATGACATTCCTGATAAACTTGTCAATACCACCAAGTAGTCACAGTCATCTTTAGAATCATAGGGCATTAGGACAGTATTTCACAACACTTGGAAGTGTGCTTGTTTCTCCAAATCTGAAGGAAATTACTGAACACAAGAACAATGTCTGTGAGAGCTATATTTTTCTCTTAATTAGGGACCTAAATAATAGCTTCTCAGTATCTGTCATTTTGGTATCAAAGTAACTTGAAGAAGCATTAAAATATCATTACATACACTACTACACTGGATAAACTAACATATTCCTTCCAATCTTCACTCTCTTTAACAAGTTAGGAGTCACAGTACACCTCAAGGAGATGCAAGAAAGAAATCAGAGATCATGGTTAAGGAGATGGAGTCTTTTGTGTCTTGGGATGAGACTATTTAGATCAACTGTTAATGTATAGAATACTCTATCATATAATTTATTAATGGGTCTGTCATACAGCAATACGGATCTTCTCAGGTCATATCAACTACTTCTCCTCCTCATTCACTTCCTTCTGCAAGCAGCAGTACCTGATTCATTTAATTTCCTCCATCTGTCTTTCTGTTTACCCAGTTCATCTCTACAGGACACCACCTTTTGAAAAGAATGCTTTAAATTTGCTCTGGAAAGAAAATATAGTTGCTTGGATGATATTCAATGTGGCTAGGCATAGAGAAGACTTCAGAGGTTCTTTGCTTGGTTTGTATTTAAGCCTGTAGAAAGGTTTATGCAGCTGTCTGAAATATTTGTAACAGTACTGAATTAGTTTTCAGTTAGTTCATTTAGCTTTCATTGTCAATGAGTTTTGTACAGACCAGGGGTAGGTGAGGAGTAGATAATATGTTAACAAGAAGTCTGTTCTTGTCTCTACTTAATGTCAGCACCTGCCATATGGGATTCTCTCCAAAATTTGTGTTCTGTTTCTGAGAATACTGAAAAACAGTGAAGAGAGTTACTGAGAATTCTAGTTTTGCTGGTCTACACTTGCATTGCTGGACTTAGCAAATTCGGAAAGAAGGAGAAATGAGCATACAGAACTGTAAGTTTCCAGACATGTTACCCACAGTAGCCAGAAATAAGACCCTGCCAAAGATTTAGCATTTGAATAGATTGTTTAATATTCATGCAGGAAAATTTAAACTGATCGTATTCCAAAACCACTTTTTTTAAATATGACTTTGCTGAAAATTGTGAATTGCTCAGCTGTTTTTTTTTGTTTGTTTGTTTTTTTAAGACTAAAATAACATGTTTTAATATATGTTGCTCTCACGCTGTTATAAATATTGGAAATGATTATCACTGGAGGAGTATTAAAAATTAAACTGTTTCACCATCTGTGCTGTTTGTTTATTTTTCACATTTCATTCAACATGTTCAGTGAAAGTAGATCTGTTTGGTTTTCTCTTTCACTCTCATAGACTACCATAATGATTCAGTGTTTCTGCTATGAACAATGCAAGGGCATATTTATCTCCAGGCTGTCATATTCCAAACATGCTGGTTTCATAGAAAAACATACATATAAAACCAAACACAAATATCTTGACTTTATTAAAGTAACTACGTTTGATCCATTGTTTCAGTTTTTTAATGTTGACTCCTTCTCCCAACATACCACAGGCATACCTGGGCTTATATAGCTTATGTATCTTCCTGTCATACTTGACAAAAGCCTTTTGCAAAAAGAGTTGTCAGCTAACCAGGACAAAGGATGCCTGAAGTGTGATAGTAGGGTATGCTTGTCTTTGTTAATACATTCTGTTATTCTTATGTGATGAATAGAAGACAAGCGTGAATACGTTTCTGTAGGACCACCTTCATTCAGAATGTCTTGATCACCCGATTGTTCCAATTTAAAAGCACTAGACTCTTCAGCTGCAAAATCACTGAAGATGGAGCTAAGTTTCAAGATCCAGATTTGCCATGGAACAGAGTGGTTCCAGCTTTGCTATCCTGCTATAATTTTGCTGCTCAGTTGGAATATCTCAGGGGCATTCTTTTCCCATGTTGAAATGAAGGAAAATCTGAAACATCCAGAGTTGATGTTCCCCCTCACAAAGAAAGGTCACATCCCAAGGCCATTTAATCTCTCAGAATTTGACCAAGGAGAAATTCCCTGTGGAATCACTTAAATTACAGTATGAAAACCAAATATGTCTGATTAGCATTAACAGACACCTTCTTCATTACATGTTTTCAGGCACAACAGTTAGAGATAAGTGTCATCTGTAAACTGGAGTAGATTCTATGCATTGTTCATAAAGCATTTTCTGAATCATTCCACAATCCAATCTAAATTTAGCCCGCCACACTTTTATTGATTCCAAGGCTGGATTCAGTGGCAAAAATCTAAGCCTGAGATCTTTGTGTTTTCTCAAAGTAAAACAAAACAAAAGCAATTTCATACAATCAAAACCCTTCTCTTGAGAGTGTTAGCTTTCTCTCCTTACATTTTGGTTATACTTCTCCTGGACAACTTCCAGCAACCATTCCACTGTAATTCATTCATTAGCTGCAGCATTCTGAATTTCAAGTAAACTTTTCAAGTCTATACTGAAAGAGGTGGAAAAGCAGAGAAAAGTTATCATTAAAACCTCTTATAAATTAACCATGGTTTCCTTGACAATTTGCTTGGTGTGGACTGCACGGTGACCAGAACAAAATTCCCATTCCTCTGACCCCCAATAGCATCACAATGAATCAGGATAACAAGAAAGACTTAAGGAAGACAAGGAAAAAGAAAGAAAGAAAGAAAAAAGTGTGTCTTTGAAGGAACATTTAAAAACCTTTACAAATGACAACTTTATGAATGTGATACAGAAGTGAAGAACAAGTATAAACAAATTGGACTTGTCTAAACCAGAAACTTTACCAAATAGATTTGTTTTATCCTTTCACTTGCCCTTGAATGTTGACAGTAATTCCCTTGCATGCCAATTGCCTGGGATTTGAAAGGTCTGACACACAATATTCATGGTAGTCAGCTTCACTAATAGTTCTCCACTCTTGTTTTTCAAGAAAAAATATCACACTTTTTGCAGACATCATTTCCTTATTCATTTTCTCAGAGGGGATTAAAATATTAAGTCCTTTTGTCCTTACCTTTGATGAATCTGGAATGGATTGTGAATGTGATATTGCAAATTGGCAGAAAGATCTTATTTTGACTGAATTTCTGAATCAGCCTGTCTCTAAGAATCTAGTCAAACCTGTCACTCTTATGAAGACTGATGTGGCCAACAAGTGTGCTGCTGATCTGCAACCTGCCAGGCTTAGCAACTCCTGCCATAAATGCATTTGAAAATCTGGATTTTCTATTGATCCCAATTTGGTTTTGCTATACAATGTCTTCTGTAGCTGGACTGCATCGATATTTCTTTCAGAAAGGTTACACTGCATGTGTTGATCGTGTCCAATTTACAGAACACTGAAGTGACAATAATGGGGTTACTTGAACATTTATTGTTGAACAGCGAGAAACAATTTTATTTGCTGATGTCAAGGAAGACTCCACACATGCTCAGACACCAGCAAGTGTAGAAGCAATACATCTATACTTCCACAAGCCCTTTCTTTCAGAAACTGATATTCAGAAGTAAGCCATACTTTCCTACTGTGGAAATTCATACCACAAAATGAGTGAGTTTATTTAATTCCTCTCCATAAGGATGGCTCCCAAACACACCCCACCCTGTTCACTCCCTCCTCTTTGTAAATGTTGCACTTTTCCTGCTGCATTCAGCAGTATAGCTTCCACTCAGATAATAGCTGGTCATTTTAGGGCTCTTGGAAGGTTTTGGATCCTTCACCCAAAACTGAAGGTTATACTTTAAAAAAAAAAGATGAGAATTAGTTAAGCAGGTGCACTGAGTTCAGGGGCACTTGAACAGCCAACTTGCTTCACCCCCAGTACAAACACAAGACTGGAATTTGGGAGATTCTCATTGGGCACCACCCAGTAGGGAGTTTTGCCTCAACATGCGTGACAGGACTGGATCTTTACAATATCATCCTTTATCAAATCTGGATGGTATCAGACCTGTTCCAAGGCTTGTTTGCTGCATTATGTTTCCTGAATGTAAGTAAAAAGGAACAAAGAAGGCTACATAAGGTGGACAGAATAAATATGCTCAAAAACAGCAGTGGCTTAGCAAGCGTCTGTGGATATGAGAGCTATAATAACATTAAAAAACTAAATATTTTCAAATCAATACAGTCACATGCCTATTAAAAAAAAAAAAGAAAAAAAGAAAAGGAAAAGAAAAGAGAAGTAAAAAAATCATCCCTCTTTTTTTCCTCAGCTGTGGTGGTGCAGCACCTGCCATTAGCTGTGGTGGTTCCTGTTTTCATTTTGTCTGACAGTAGCAGTTGGACTGAGCCAGAGCCAGTGAGGCTGAGAGGCAGACTCCCTGCTTCCACAAAGCTGAATTTAATAAGATGAGAACAGTATGCCAAGATGGTGAACTCCCTCCCTAGCACTTATCATGACACTAGTCACTCAGCAGGGCCCTTATTGCAGCAGTAATCTGGGTGAGCCTGGCAGAGCGTCCTGCTTACAAGTTCAATATAATAGAACAGCAGGGCACTGGAGGCCTGGCAGAAAAGCTTAGCAAAGTTAAAGCCTATTACGCTATGCTTGAAAAAAATGGCTCTCAAAATATTATATGCTGAGCAAAAACCTGGACATCCCAAGTGCAGTGACTTACTAAGCCTCTTCCATAATGGTGTACTCATTAGTCTATAGACACAAGCAGCATGATTTAAAAGTCCATAACTTGAATAGAAATGGTTATGCAAATTTGTCCTTTTCTTCTGCTCAGCTTCTAATTAATAGGCAACATTACACCATGATATATACAGGTATTGAAAACAAAACTTGAATCTGCTGTGAGCTGCATTAAGATGCTGAAGTTAGAAAATCACTTCTTTGCGTTTTATTTACCTTATATATTCATAAATAACAAAAATCAGTTGGAAGTAATAACCCATCTCACTAGTATATATTGGTATGTAAACATGAAAGCACAACCTTGACAAGACCTGTGGCAGGGCAACCGTATCAGACACATCCTTAATATAGCGAGATACGACAGAAGCCCATCAGCATTTAAATTATAGCAGAATAAAGATTTTGTTGTGAGCTGTCCACAATAATTTCATCAGTCAGACTGGTTTTCAATGGATTATTACTTATTTGATTGAACATTTTAAAGTCTGTTTTACTCCTGTCCCTATTTTTAGCCTCAGTGGTGTCTGTTATAGCATGGACTTGAAATTCATCAAGAATGTGATGATCCAACCTTGAAATACGGTCCCTAGTTTGAATGGCATTTTGAAAAGAGAATTTTACTTGTTAGGAGTTACCAGAAAAGTGTTTCCATCTGGTCAAAAGACCATAATGATAAACTCCCCTGAAATTAATTTTAAATGATTAAACAGCTAAAAAGAGATGGGAAAAGAAGAGGTAGGCATATACCCCTCTGCATATACTTCACTTGTGATAGGAGGAACAGTGTGTCACCTGGCCACTTTGCAAAGTCAAGCAGGCTTTCATTTGCATTAACACAAGCCCTTAAAACCATATGACATACCCTTGTGTTTTTCTTGCAGTCCATATCCATCAGTCCAGAAGACCTAGAGTCTCTTGTGGTTTCTACACCATGTATGTCCCACATGCAGTAGAATTTCATATCATTCCAGCTGGAAGTAACCTCAAGAGGCCTCCAGTCCAACACCCTGCTCAAAGGAGGGTCAACATCACAATCAGTTGAGGTTGCTCTAGGCTTCGTCTAACTGAGTCATGAAAACCTTCAAGGATAGATTCTGTGTTTTCTTTGGACCCCGGTTCTCATGTTTAATTATCCTTACAGTGGAACATTTTCCCCCTTATTTGCAGCTATAACCTACCCTGTTTCAATTTATGGCTCTTGTTCTTCCACTGTGCTCCTTAGTAAAGAAACTGTCTCTATCTTCCTAGAAACCTCTTCTTAGGCATCAGAAAGCTGCTACTAGGTTCCCCACACTTCCTCTAAATAACCTTGCTCTCTAAAGAAGCACAGTTCCGTCAGGTTCTCCTGATGGGGCATGTGTTCAAGCCTTCTGACCATCCTGGTAGCTCTCTGCTAGACTTTCTCAATTTTACCAGCATCTTCCTTGTACTGGGGAACTCAAAACTGAAGGCAGTATTACAGATGCAGTCTCACAAGTGGCAAACACAGGGGAGTTATCACCCTTTGATCTATGAGCTGCACTCCTGCTTATAACTCCAGTATGCTCAGTCTACTGCCCACCAAGATCTTCAGAAACTTTTCAGCAGAATCTTCGAGTGCTAGGGTGGTAATCCATAAGAACCAAGGTCAGTGATCTGATTACTTCCTTGAGTTGCTTAAAGAAGACTTCATCCATTTCCTAATATTGACCACATGATTTGTAGTAGATTGCCACCACAACACTGCTCTTACCAGCCTCTTCTCTGATCATGACCCACAAGCCCTCAGTCACCCTATCTTCTGTTCCAAAAGAGTTCCATACATTGAGGCTGCTTCTTCACATAGCACCCAGCTTCCTTGAATTCCCTTCCTGTTCTTCCTAAAGAGCCTTTACACTCTTTACAACTCAGAGCTCCTGCCACATCTCAGTTGTTCTTATGATGTCTTAGCTCTGCACCCACGCATGATGCTCCTCCTCTTTGCTTCCCAGACTCTGTACATTTATGGCAACCCTTTTTTTAACTTGTTTTATCCTTCCCGAGGGCTCTCATGCTCCTGTCACCCTGTCCCATGTATTTACTGCCCCTATTTCTGTTCCCTCACTTATCTGCAAGCTGTCATCACCATCGGCTGACGTACCTGGTTTAAAGCCTGTTGGCAAAGATCATATGTGTGGATATCTTGGATACTCTAGGGCACCTCAAATGGAAAGTACCTACATTTAGACAGTTAAAACCCGCCTTTACTGTCTGAGTCCAAGGCTTAAAACTGTGTCTGTCTGGTCATGTCTATTTCTCATCCCATCCTTTCAATCTGTACCATTTTATTGATCATGAATGCGCCATCCCTGGTGGTGTTCAAGACTAGGTTGGACAGAGCCTTGGGTGACATGGTTTAGTGTGAGGTGTCTCTGCTCATGGCAAAGGGGTTGGAACTGGATGATCTTAAGGTCCTTTCCAACCCTAACTATTCTATGATTCTATGATTCAAACAAAGAAATAGACCATTATATTCCTAGGTGTTCTTTCTAAGTGCACAGAAAAAAAGTATTTTAGATACAGATTTTAGTTTTTTTTTTCTGAGGAAAAGCTTTCCTGTGTGAAAGAAACTAACTTCTTTAAATTATCATCCAACAGAACCTAACTAAGAAGCACTCAAGCTACAGCACAAACCTAACAAAGCCAGCTAAAATATTCCCACCCTAACACAAGGGTCAGCAGTATTTGCAGATGTGAAAAAAACAGCAGGTAGTAAAATTTTAGGTAGCACACAGCCCTTAGTCAGGGTGCACTAATAGTCAGAGTGCACTAATAGGCCTTAATGGCCCAACCTGCCTCAGCTGGGGTCTCCACCCATACCCACAGATGGAGCTTTACTTAAGCTCAACCCTGCACCTTCCCTTCTTGACTAAATTATTCTAGAGAAGTAGTGGCTTGCAGCTCAGCTGTGGTGCTATGCATTTGCCTGGCAATGTGTCCAGTTGACCCTGGTCTCTTATGGACTGCCTTCCCAGCTTGACCTGTGGTCTGCCTGGTAATTGGTTGAGCTGGTTCTGACCTGCAGACTGACTTTCTAGCTTGACCCCAGACCTGCTTCATCACCATGAACTTGCAAAGTGATTTTAGCTCCTGGTTAGATGTGGCTACTATCTCTGAACCTGCCCTGCTCAAGGTACTGTGGGGTGGCCCCCTGCCAATGAAGCTCTTAGGTTATTCCCCTTGGCTTCATGTGCCTTAGGGATCCTTTGGCCCTTGCTACACCCTGATGAAAACTGAAAATGGTTAATGCATGGTACTGGGAGTTAAGCATGTACTTGAAGTACTATGAATACAGCAGAGGCAGCACTTTGAATTTTGCTGCTAAACAGATTTTTAAAAAACATCACCTGTTTCCCATTCAAGTTTTTCCCTACTGTTCTAGACTGCTGACTAACTTCAATGTGTGCTGATCTATTACTTTAGAAAGCTCCTATTTAAGAGCTAGCTTTCTTGCCTTACACCCTCCCTGCAGTGCCCTGTTCTATTCTGCAATGTTGTTGTGTTAAGTGGTAGTCTTCCAATTGAAGAACTTGAATATTAGCAGACTTGATGGGTTTCCCCCTTGGAAAGGGATGCATTGTGGTTTTTGTGGAAAATGTTAATAGCTCACTTAACCTGGAAAAGGTATTTTGTAGAGTAAATTACAATCCATCATCATTCCTGTTTTGTGGCACTTCTGTGCTGGCAACAGAAAGAGACAGTAGTTAGATTTGTTCTGCATCCTGTCTCCCCAGTGAGCATGATGGGGAGCCGAGAACAAGCATAGTGTCTTATAACCTCTAAACAGCAAAGACCAAACATGGTGCATGCCCCTTCCATACCTTCAGTTCATTTGAAAGAACTCCAGGTTTAGCATAAGGTAAAAAACCAAAACCAAACCAAACAGCTTATGCAACCAGCAATCTCAACCCTGCCTTGCAGTATGTTTTGGGATAACTATTAGATTAAGGTTTTGGGAGTCTACAGCTATAAATTACATGGAGCTTATTTGTAAAACTACTGGAGTTTGGATTTACTCTTTAGATTCCTCACCTCAACATTTGGAAAGATACACAGTTCTGTTGCTCACTAGTAAGTACGCTTAAACTCCTGTATTATTCTTCTGCATCAGTAAAATCCATGGGAAGCTTTTATTGATTGATAATCCACATTAGCAGAAAATTTCCTGGCTAGGGTTGGATAACTTCACACAAATAAGCATAAGAGCCTCAGAGAACAGCAGTGTCTCTGAATACTTTTCAGGGTCTGTGGGCATAATGTGAATGGACCCGAGCAGCTAAGCCTTTAACTTCAACAATCTCTGAAAAGGCACTGTAAAAAGCCCTTGCTTTGCTTTGTGGTAATGCCTTTGGCATTAGAAAGAAAGGCTACCACTGATGTCTGCCTGTGCATACCCAACACTCTGAGCAAGATGCACCAAAACAGAGCACCGCTAAATCTTACCAGAGAAGAATTTGCTGCAGGTTTAAGTATCACTTTAGGTGATTTGATTTAGCTTTATCACTTATCATCTAGTGGTGAAATATTCTGAGGCAAACGGTGTGTTCAGGACAGAGAAATATTAAATGCTCTTGGTAGATTTCAGGTATCTTGTCAATATTAGGTTGGTATTCAACCATTTCAGTGTCATGCGAAGGATAGATACA